TATATATATATAAACTACAGCCCACACAGGGAAAAAATCCTTTACTTTAGAGCCTTGGTTAGTGGATGCTTAATAAAGAACCTTCTGTTTTCAAATATAATATAATATAACATAATATGATATAATATAATACACTCATAAAAATGTTGTTTACAAATAAAAAAATCATAATATAAATGCTTTGAAAATAAAAATAAAACTGCAGCCAACACCTAAAAAAAAAAAAAATCTTATTATATTATATTAACATCAGCTGGTCAAATATTTTGACACATAAATATATGTTGCTTGAAAAAAAATGTTGTGTTTAAAATTAATAAATCTACAGCCCACACTGGGGGGGGAAATCCTTATTGTTGAGCTCTGAACTGGTTTGGTGGTTGCTTAATAAAGAACCTTCTGTTTTTAAATGGGCCTCAGTCTAATTAAGGGCAAAAGAGAGAGAAACACTGGCAGATGAACTAGTGTTGTTTCTAAATCTGTTCTGTGACCTGGGGCTTGACAAAAGGCACAGACACAGATACAAAAGGTCCGTGCAGCTAAGCTCCCAGTGCACTTGACAGATTACCACTGATCTGAAGTCACAGCAGTTATACAGGCACGGCTTCAGAAAACACTACTGAGACTAGACATCTTCTGCTTGACTCTAATCCCTCCCTTCATATCTGATCCATTTCTTCTAGTAATTGGAATATAAGATTAACTCTTAATATAGGCTACAACACAAACTGTCATGGCAAACCTCAAACTGCAACCAACCACAATGCAGACCGGCAACAGGCAATTTCCTGCACCTACTAGCACTGCCTCACAACACACAGTATGTCTCCATTCAAATTAAAGGGTTATAGGCACTGACGCTATCACACACACTTAAGGTTTTCAAATTAAAGAGACCCATATTCCTCCAGATATAACTAATGAACAAATCAACAATGATAAATCTGAATAAGTCGCATCTCAAATCAACATTATAAATATAATGATAACATCCACATCTTACCTTCTGTCTTTAGCTTTGTGAGCACAAATATTAGGTAGTTGTTGAAGTCCGGGTATTGATTGAGCTGCTCAAGTTTCTGTGGTGCACATTAAGGAAAAGGCATACAGACCACAGAGATAAAGGATAATGCAAACAGCAGGGGAAATGTGCATCTGCGCAGGTACTTAATCGACAAACCGCTTGATGTTCAGTTGGACGATTACATCAATGAACCCATGAATATATGAGTCATTAAGGTCTTATACGCCCGATGTTATAATATGCAAATGATGCGTGAATATAATTTAACATCCAGCAAGGTAAATATGAAAATGCACTATTAACTAAAAACAACACAAACATCAATATCGTAACCAAAATCTATGACAAAGAAAATATATAATAATTCAGCAAGTCTGCTTGTGAGAAAATGGTGTAGAAAGTGCACAGAAGAACTAACTCAGGGCCATAGAAAATGATGGTCTCCCAAAAAAAGCAAGAGGTACGTTGAGTCACTGAGGAGTAAGTGAACGATTTGATGCTATTAAGTACTTTTATTAGCCACTGGCACATCTCAACCCGCAAATCTGACCCCGCAGCTACCATTTAAAGAGAAAAGCTTAACATGACAGTTGATCAAAAACGAAAAATCTGTCATCATTTACTCTCCCTCAGCTCCTTCCAAACCTGTATGGCTTACTTTATTTTGTGAAATACAAAAGAAACCAAAAGGTAATATCAACAGTTTTGGTTACCACTGACTTCCATATATATATATATATAAAAAAATTTTTTTAAATCTCCATTGAGGTTCCACATAAGAAAGAAAGTCATACAGGTTTAGAACCAGCAGATCTTTAGGCAAATAATTTACTGGTAATTCAACAAAATAGATGATACGTAGACTATTTATATACCTTACACATTTGTTCTGACATTCATTTCACTTGAAATTTAGAAAATGTACATTAACATGTAAAAGCTCGTTGTACAAGTTTTAAACATGCATAGCATTTTATCATCTGCTCCTTCTGTCACAGGCTGCTGTATATGATGGACAAAAACGATGCATAATTTGCTAGTTTAAGGGGGCGTCACAGTTCACCCACTGACTCTCCTATGTGGAATAAAGACTGAAAACATCGCGAATGTCAGATGTCTTTGTCTGGGCTGCATCTGATTATGTGCCAGAAACACCGTGATAACAATACTCGCGCCACTGCAGCTGGAGGTCCGTCTAATCGTAAACTGCCAGCGTCTGAGACAGCATTTCTATTTGAAGTGTTCCAAACGCACCTACGATGCGAAGAAATGCTGTCTAGGTTTTGTACACAACCATAACGTTCATTAGATCAGATGAATGTTTAATTGTGCTAATTTCAGAGATGTGTGTGTGCTGAAGGCAGTTGACACACAACAGCTGGACCCGCTCAGATCTAAAGCGTAAAGGGATGGTTCTCCTAAAAATGAAAATGCTGTCATCGTTTACCCTCCCTCATGTCGGTCCAAACCTGTACGACGTTCTTTCACGTGTGGATATTTTGATGAATACAGCACTGACACCAACTAACATCCATTGTACGGACTGAGACATTTCTCAAAATATCTTAATTTATGTCCCACACAACAAAGACCTACAGGTTTGGAATAACGTGAGCGTGAGTAAATAATGACAGATGTTCATTTTGGGGTGAACTATCCCTTTAAGTGAAACACTCCCCGCGTGACCCATACAGACACCACCCTAATCTACAGCTGAAATATACACAAACAGCATAAACCCCCGTGTGTTTCAGATCTCAAGTGTTACATACTAAGGTTTGAGTTAATCACAGGCCATCCCCTTCAGATCTCTGTCTAAACAGTGAGGTAAAGGATACTTGTTGGACGGATCGTTGCGTGGACGTGTCGGGGGACTGTGATTCCTTGAGCAGCTGTAAGATCTGCTGAAGTCCCTGCTCGTCGGGTTTCCACTGGCACTCCATCTTGTATGGCTGGAGCCTCTCTCTCTCTCTCGTTCTGTAGGCGTACAGATATACACCCTTTCACATCAAATAACGGCCTCCACCTTGACCTTCAGCTTCAGCTTCAAGTTGTTATCGAGCGGAAGATGGGGAAAACGCCTCTGCGAGAGTTTGCTGTGGATAGAGCCGTGTGAAAATGAGCGTGTTTCGCGGGCGTTGTGTTGTTGGTGACGCTAGGCTAGCTTACACGGACTTGGTCGGTCTGGTCCCGGATCACCGCACATCGACAGCGATAAGCCTCTGTGCTGCACCGGCCGGGTCCTAGCGCCTGTCGAGTCGCTGGCTGGAGGGACGTGTTGGGGAAACCCTGTATGTGACATACTCCGACTATAGCTGTGTAGTAGCCCGGCTAGCTCAGTCGGTAGAGCATGAGACTCTTAATCTCAGGGTCGTGGGTTCGAGCCCCACGTTGGGCGAATACTTTATTGCAGGCTGCATTTGCGACGTTGCTCTGTACAATTAACTGTATAGTACAACTATATAGAATATGTACGGGATGGTTTACCTTCCACTGGCACTCCATCTTGTATGGCTGGAGCCTCTCTCTCTCTCTCGTTCTGTAGGCGTACAGATATACACCCTTTCACATCAAATAACGGCCTCCACCTTGACCTTCAGCTTCAGCTTCAAGTTGTTATCGAGCGGAAGATGGGGAAAACGCCTCTGCGAGAGTTTGCTGTGGATAGAGCCGTGTGAAAATGAGCGTGTTTCGCGGGCGTTGTGTTGTTGGTGACGCTAGGCTAGCTTACACGGACTTGGTCGGTCTGGTCCCGGATCACCGCACATCGACAGCGATAAGCCTCTGTGCTGCACCGGCCGGGTCCTAGCGCCTGTCGAGTCGCTGGCTGGAGGGACGTGTTGGGGAAACCCTGTATGTGACATACTCCGACTATAGCTGTGTAGTAGCCCGGCTAGCTCAGTCGGTAGAGCATGAGACTCTTAATCTCAGGGTCGTGGGTTCGAGCCCCACGTTGGGCGAATACTTTATTGCAGGCTGCATTTGCGACGTTGCTCTGTACAATTAACTGTATAGTACAACTATATAGAATATGTACGGGATGGTTTACCCAAAATGACATTTCTATCATCGTTTTCACATTGTTATGAACCTGTATATTTGTCTGTGGAACATAAAATAAGTGTTTCTGCATTTTATTCCTTACAATGGAAGTCAAAGGTAACCAAAACTGTTTGCTTACCACTAAAATTCTTCAAAATATATTTTTATTTTCCACAGAAGAAAGAGTATGTCATACAGGTTTGGAAGGACATGAGGATGAGTAAATGATGACAGAATTTCATTTCTGAGACTTGATTGAACTGGAAATCCTGATTATCACAGTTGAATGAAAGCGCGAATAAAATTTTATGTTCGATTTCAGAATTTAATTAACTTAGTTATACAATTTTAAATACATAACTTTCATTTGTCCATTTTAGTTTTTTATTCAAATGTCAACTGGGGAAACATGTCCCAGGCAGTCGCGCCATATAAGCATTTTGATGTCAACTCAAAGTTCTGGACAGTCAACATGTTGAAATGCTAAATCAATACTAAAACAGTATTTATTAAAAATAAAATGTATTTATACATCTCATGCATGCATGGCATTTTGCCACATACAAAACAACCACCCATTTATCTTCCAAAAGAACATCTTGCATCTATTTATTTTTTTTAGAAGACATACAGCGAGGTTTTTTTTGTGTGTGTTTTTACATTTTTAAGTATTGCATGTTGCTAATTAACAGGGTTGACAAGTAAATACTCATGGAAATTAAGAGAGTTCACAGACATTACCCGATTTATTTCCTCGAAGAGGAATGCAAACTGCACAAGATCCCAAATTAGAAGAATACCACTTTTTTAAAGTGATTCAATTCCTTACTTGATTTCAACAACTGAAGGTAACAAAAGCTGGCGTAAAACAGGAGGAGGTAGATGATGCCAAAGCCTGAGCTTGAATTGGCTGTTTTCAGAGTGTGCAGGTCAAGGATATATCTTTGCTCCTGTAATATAATACTCTAAAGATGAGAGTCTTGAACACTATGGGTTTACTCTAACAATAGTGTGGACTGCAGAGTTCTGCGAGTCCTTCGGCTGGTCTTTCTTTCCTGCTCCAATATTCCCAGAGGCCTCCTCCCCCTAGAGGGAGTGTGACACAGGAAATCATCGATGGTCAGCTTGGTGATCTGGCCGGCCTCCTCTAACGGTCTCACCACCTGCTCCACCTTCCCCTCCCACGGTCCACCAGCACTCTTGCTCCTCAATACATTAACCTAAGAGAGCAGAAAGGAACCGAAGACAGGGACAGTCTAATCATTGCTTTTCCTACAACAGGTGTTTGACTTCATTTTATAAGGTAAGGATCCGATATTCCATATTTATGTTTTTATACAAATTACCTGTCAAGTTTTTGGACACCCTCAAATAAATGTAAAGGTTTCTCATGATCTTAAAACAAGTTTTTTTCATATGCTTGACAAATATAAAGTACACTACTGTTCAAAAGGTTGGGATCGGTAAGATGTTTTGAAAGAGGTCTCTTATGCTCACCATGGCTGCATTTATTTATGATGCAAAAATACTGTTAAAACAGTAATATTGTGAAAAAACATTACAATTTAATTTTTTTTTTAAATGTAATATATTCCTGTGATGGCAAAGCTGATTTTCAGCAGTCATTACTCCAGTCTTCAGTGTCACATGATCCTTCAGAAGAAAAAAAAAATAAATGTAATATATTCCTGTGATGGCAAAGCTGAATTTTCAGCAGTCATTACTCCAGTCTTCAGTGTCACATGATCCTTCAGAAGAAAAAAAAAAAATCTTACTGCCCCAAACTTCTGAACGGTAGTGTAAAATGCTGTATTTTTACAAAAATAAACGTATAATTAATTTTGTTTTTGAATTTTGAAATGAATGAATTGGATCAGCGTTTAAAATGCATCCCAGGTTACACCTCCAAATATAACGAGTCTGGAGTTTTGATTCGTTTTGCATTGCTAGCATTGGTGATTGCATAATTCCATTTGTGTTACTTAATAGTTTGGATGACTTTACTACTACTCTTAAATGTAATAATAATTGTGAGGTGTAAACTGTAGGTGTGTCCAAACTTGACTGGTGTATCTGATATCTCACCACTTCCTGAGAGAACTCTGGTTTCTTCACAAACACTGAAGTCTTTGACACTAGGGCTGTTGTGAGGGCAGAGACTGCTTCTTTCATGGACCCTTTCATAGCCAATATGAGAACCTAGAAACAGAGCAGTTAAACATATGCAAGCTGTCTTTCAAAGACTGATTCAGATATAATCACATACTTACCCTTAGGTTCTGGCATAGCCGACTGTCCGTGCTCATGATCTGAGAGTAGAATGCCTGGGCTCTCTCTATATCATTCTACAACATACATCAGGTAAAATGAAAGTGATTTACTGTTAATATATCAAAATACATCATACAGAATATAATATACTGTTAATATATCAAAAGATGCAGTATTGTCTGTGATTCAATGACAATTCCACAATATCCTAACTCCATATCTCTACTAAATTCTGATGTTACACCCAAGTAGTTGATTTATAAGGCATTACATAGCCTAAATGTATCCTTTAATTTGAAATTAGATATTGATATTTCAGTCAGCTTACCTGTTTGAGAGCAAGAGCAGTTGCAAAGCAATAAGCATGGCAAGGGATGAGTTTGCCTTTAGTCTGACCTTCTTCCAACAGGGTCAAACAGATATTATATGACTTTGGGGTGTTCTGCCAATCCCAAGATACAGAAACAGACGTGTTCAGTTTATAAATGATACTCATCAACATCTGTTGCACTTGACATGACCTAAAATTACAGTGAGAAACGACTGGCCAAAAAACAAGCCAAAAGATTGTACCCGTTTAGAAAGATTGTACACGTTGTAACTGTTATTGTTCTGTATATGCTGAAATTAGTTTGTCTTTTCTGATTCAAGTAAGCCAGGTAATTTTTATTGCCTTTAATACAAAGCATACAATACTTGCTTCTACATTGCCTTTACCAGTTTATAACAAGTAGCAAAGGCTAGCATGAAGGTGTCTTTGTTGAACTGCACTCCTTGTTTTTTCATGTCTCCCACCACCTCCAGGCCACCTGTGAGAACACCATCAGTGATATCACATAGACTGAAACCATACCACCATCTCATCCAACTTTTTTGTGCCAACAGTAAAGGCAACAGGAGCACAATACAAATCTTCTTAATTGTTTCATACACCAGCAGAACGGAGAGATAAGCAGAGGAAACTTACTTTTGTAACACTGTTTAATGAAAAGCATGTCGATGGCAATATTAAAGGATGTGGAGTCTGAAAAGAATCCTTTGAGAGCCTACGCAAAAAAAGAAAAAGAAAGAAAATGTTAAATCTCACTATAATTCATGTACATAGTCATCAAGTATACAGCAATGCTTTTGTACAATGCGTGTTTATTTTCATGTACTGGATCCGTCAGAGTTCTGGCTCCCAGCTCCTCTAAACCCAGCTCATAGCATAACCTCATGAAAAGTGGGCCAAATTTGAATTCCCCGAATGCCATGCTACGATTCTCTTCATGGTACCTGGAATTGACAGAACAGTGTTATCATATATACAAAAACGTATCCATATGCAGACATTACACATATCTAAATAATCTCCAATACAAACAGAATAATATTAAATATTGTTAAAAATGAGGATGAACTTTATGCTTAATGCAATTAAATCACTATGATACTGCTCTTTACGTAAACATAGTCTTTGTAATATAAATAGGGTTAATTTCCCTACATGACAAATTATTGAGGTAGTTTTACCTGTACATAGCATTTCTTGCCACAAAAACCTCTTCAGCAGACTGGCATAAATACAGAAGTATTTTCAATTCATCCTTTAAAATGAGCTGTTTTTTCTCCATTTTCTGATTTACTGTATCAAAGTAATAACCTGTTAAAAAAAAAGAAGTCACATTCAGGGCAAATGAGAAAATTACAATTAAAGGTGTACTCATTGTCTTTTATGTTGTGCTGGCAAATAGGGCAGCTGCGGACATGTGAGGCATGAATATTGCAATAGCATCATGCATCACCGCCAGCCATGATTGATAAGTCCACAAGTCACATTGTCTGATAACAAGATAATGAGATAAATAAAATAATCCTCAGCTGGTCATGCGATCTCAGCATCCGGCCCCTATGAGGCAACCCACTTTCATGACAAATAAAACCGCTTTTTTTAGCCAACTGATATGACTGCACTGAATGCAGTTGCATGTGGGTGTTGATGTTTTTAAACATTTTTGAGAAGTTCTATTAATTTCTTTTAATGAGACAAATATGAATGAGTCCAGCTTTAAAGTAATGAGACTGAGACACCAGAAAGAGGTACAACGTTATTTAAATCATGCCAAATGATGCCTGCCTTTTGATCCTGACACTTGGTGGGAAATAGCAAGTTTCCTCTGCTGAAACTCCTGCAGCTTCACCACATCTTCAGACAAGAGATAACGTTTAGCTGAAAAGAGTATTTGTAAACAAGTCAGTTTCTCACCAGCTGTTGGAAAAACCTTAAGTGTTAAACTGTGTCAGGGGGACTGTCATTTGTTTGACCACTTTCATCCCATTTAAGCCCTGTTGAACAACAACAAAAAATAAACTAGTTAATTTGGTTTTTAGCTGGGTTTGGGCACTTTTCACATGATCAGGCTGGGAAGCAAATTCTTCAGTCCTCATACATTTTCATCTGCGAAGACAGCGGTGTTAATCACGTCGATTATGTTCTCTACACTGCGGTGTGTGTGTGTGTGTGTGTGTGTGTGTGTGTGTGTGTTTATGCTCGAATAGCTTAACTCAGCGGTCACCAACTCGGTCCTGGAGGGCCGATGTCCTGCAGAGTTTAGCTCCCAACCCTAAATTAAACACACCTGAACCAGCTAATCAAGCTCTTACTAGGTATACTTGAAACTTCCAGGCAGGTGTATTAAAGGAGCTAAACTCTACAGGACACCGGCCCTCCAGGACCGAGTTTGGACACCCCTGTTAACTACTCCTTAACAGTGTTGCCAAGTCCGCGGCTACTTTAACACTGTTGCCGCGGGTTGAAGCGACTCCAATAACATGATATATATCCCCTGGAATGCGAATTTTAACAGGGGAACACCGTCAACAAAACGTGTATTTTACCACCTGGTACGCGATTTTTAACTGGGGACCCCTCGAAACGCCATTGGGCTAGTTTTGAGTATCGATTGGGCGGGATTTCTTGTCAAAACCTGGCAACCCTGGACCTTAATGACATTGGCCTTGACTCTTATAGCCACTTTATATGTTCTCGGTCCACTGGCGAAAGCCAGCCTAAACGGAGACCAGCGTTATGTGCATATTACCTCCATGTCGACATTTTAAACAGTCTGATTGTATGGCTCCTCGAAGCACTGCTGCTCTGGAAGAATCGGTCAGCATAACACGAGCGCAGGCATTCAGTCCTCGCAGCGCCATGTTTGTCTGAACCAGCAATCACAGTGTGCACTTTCTATCGGTCCTGAATATGCGAAAGAATATTTCCGCAGGTAGAATTATTTAGATAGATCCTTTGAACAACACGTATTCTTATTTTTAAAGCAAATTAAGAAATGGTATATATTATTAGCGATACAAACATTTAAGAAGTATTTTACTAACACCGGCACCCCCATTTTAGGTAAAAATGGAACATTCCAATGCGGCGCTCTCCTGTTAACCGGTATGTTTACAATGTATTACATTATTTCTCTTAAAAGTGGGACGCATATATTAATTCAGACAGTTATTCTATTGTGGATGTGGAGGGACTTTTTCAAACTGTGGTTTAAAACGCTTTGCATTCTTTTTACTGGTAATTTACACCCTAGATTTAACGCTAGATCTATTACTACAGTAGGCCTATATCTAATGTTATGGTAACAATACCATCTGAATCAGCAGGTGGCGCTGTTGACCACAGCCTACACACTCCTTTGAGACAATTATTAGATTTAAATGGAGGAATACAGAACTGTTTATATATATATATATATATATATATATATATATATATATATATATATATATATATATAAACAGGCAAATAGCACGTTTGGCGGAGACAATCAGATTTGACTATATCTGATTGAAGATGATTCATTGGGTTGTTTGAATATGAGCACTGCTTGTTGGAAGCCATTAAGACATTGATTTGAGACAGATTCCCTAGATAGACTTAAAGCCTTTCTGTCTGTAGTTGTGTTGTATTACAATGAAAAGAAGTGCTACTAGTGAAGAAATAAAAAGCTAAATGTGTCTTTGCTTCTCTTGCCCATCTGTTCCAACCACACAGCAGGAGATATTATCAGCTGGATAATTGCCCAGCTTCTTTTCTATGCATTGAAAGTCATCATTAATGACTGCGAGACAGAGAGAGATTTGTTCTAATGCATATGCCACAATAATACATCTTGTGTGACAAAATTTTCAGTTGGGAAATTTTTGCAAGGCAGGTTTGATATAAATGATTGCATTTCTAGAGTGTGTTGAGAGTATAATATCATGTAAAGAGTCATGCGTTGAGTTGAAAAACAGTTATTAGCTTGATTTAAATGCAACTTATAAGATAAAAATTCACAGAATCTTTGGTGTGACCCTGTAGATTTTGATGTTTGTACTGTAGATAAACCCTTAGATGAGCATTATGTTTAAAGGGGTGTAGGTCATTGAAGTTGGCTCTGTGATTGATGACTGTACAGGATTGTCAGGGATTGAATTTGTGACTGTAGCCAAGGGCATCTTCTCTGTTAAGCTGGACATCGTGTTCTTGCATGATAACGCACTGTGATGGGTGGATATTTCAATGCTTTCTGGTATACAAAGGTGCGTGCAAAGAATAGGAAAAAATAAAGACGTATATATAAAGCTGACAGGATGACATGGCCATAAATTTAAAGTAGGTCTAGATGGTTATTTTACAGAGTGATGATTCAAAAGACTTTTGAGCTGATTGGATGTGAGAAGGAAATTGAGATTTGATTGCCCACAGTTCACATAAATGTGTGATCAATTACAAGAAGTGCTGCCAGTGCAAACACAGTGGGGAATCTATTTATTTATTCAAGATGGATGGAAAGGTCTGCAAGTAAACATGCTAGTGTGTAGACAGTTTTGTCTTCAGACATGAGCTAAATCTAACCAAACCTTGCTTTGGGGAAATTCAGAGCCATCCTTAATTGAAAAGCGACACAAAGAGTACTAAAAATGCAAAACATTTCTATTTAGGGGTTAGTATGTTGAAATATTTTTGTAAAGAGGTTTATATAAAACAATAGGAGCCTATACTATAAGTATATAAAGTGTGTGTGTGTGTGAGATTTATGTAAGATGTTAAAGATAGACAGTAACAGAACACTGATTATGTTATACTTAGAGTCCTAGCGTGGTCCTGGTGGGACTCTGCTGAGCGTTTCCTTAGCAACAGCACCTCACCCCACTCAGCTGAGACCGTCATTTGCCCAATTGGAGGCTGACTCTCAAGTGTGCTGGATTATTGATGAGCTCCAAGATGGAGGTGTTCAAATGATGCTATGAGAATAACATGGCTAATAATGTAAATTCAGGACATCATTGATTTTTCCTGCCATAGATCATGTGTACTTGGTTTCACTTAAATTAGATCAATTACAATACCATTTGAAACAAAGCTTTGCAGCTCTACCAGTGTATTTCTTGCTCATTCTTGTGACTCCTTTTTTTTTTCTTTTTTTTTTAACAAGAGCATAGTGCGAGTGGCCAAATTACAGGTTTATGTAGTGCTTTCTTTAGCATTACCCAGTTAATCTAATTTGTTGTTTAGCAACTGTACATTCTGCCAGTATTACAGTTTTTACATAGATTGGTTGTGTGCGTTTCTCAATAACTACACTTTTGAAAAGCCTTTAATTATATAGTGAACATTTTTCTTTGCCTTGTTATAAAATGCATTCAATAACAGAGGCGGACAAAGTACTCAACTCTATTACTTGAGTGAAAGTACAGATACTGCTGGTCAAATATTACTCCATTACAAGTAAAAGTTGTAAAGACCGATTTTTACTTAAGTAAAAGTACAGAAGTACTTGCTTTTAAAAGTACTTAAGTACCAAAAGTAAATTTCCTTTTTTATGTCAATGCACTGTTTTATTGTTGTATGTAATACTTGTAATACTTCTGAAGCAACTTTGAATACATTACACCTGCGGAATACACTGACTAGCTTGTATCTTTGGAATAAAGAGCTTTTAGAATGTTAAAAACCCTAGTGGGAAAAACTAAACAAAACCACAACAAAAAAAATATTATTTAACACCCCTACCCACAAAAGCAGGATGGTAGTGATCTCACACAGCTCTGACAGTGTGCACACATCTATGTGTAGCCATTCCTCCACATCTGAACAGAGTGGACAGTGAAGTCCTGTTAATACAGAGTAAGCTAGAAAAAAAAAATCAAACCTGCTTTAAAACCCAGCAACACAACTGTAGCTGTACAACTTTACAACAGCAACACTGCTTTAACAAAAAAGCAAAACAGCAAGACTTATTTG